ATAAAATAATTTTTTGCCTCTTTTAGCATATATTCACCACTATTTCAAGGGCTTCCAGAATTTCAGGCCCCACCTAAGTCTGATCTGAAGCTCAAAGCAGTGCCCCAACTTCTATAATTTGTCTGTGTAGGTCTTGGGAGATAACTCAGCATCAAAATAATTTTCTTGAGTCCCTCTTGGCTTCAGATCAATTTTCTGGCATCCCTCATGAATTACAAGTGAGGACTTATTGGAAAAGGATGATGAGAAAATCAGCCAATTAATCCATTAAACATGAATATCTACTTTGGTTTAGAGAAGATATAGAGCAGCGGTTCTCAACCTGTGGGTCGCGACCCCTTTGGGGGTCGAATGACCCTTTCACAGGGGTCGCCTAAGACCATCGGAAAACACATTTATAATTACATATTGTTTTTGTGATTAATCACTATGCTTTAATTATGTTCAATTTGTAACAATGAATATACATCCTGCATATCAGATATTTACATGATGATTCATAACAGTAGCAACATTACAGTTATGAAGTAGCAACGAAAATAAGTTTATGGTTGGGGTCACCACAACATGAGGAACTGTATTAAAGGGTCGCGGCATTAGGAAGGTTGAGAACCACTGATATAGAGGTTTAAAAAACACCACCCTATCTTCAGAAAGCTTAAATAGGTAAGCTATATAGAAATAGGACAGGTTTACAAGGGGTTACTGTCAAATGAGATGTACTGACAAGGAAGGCCACAGTAATTCTGAGAAAGGAAGAGAAGGGAGCTAGAAACAAGCCTTTCCAAAAAATTGGGATATGAGCTGATCCTAAAGGATGAGTGGGACTTAGATAAGCAAAGAAGAATGGGTGAGGAGAGTCTAACAGGCCGGGAAAAACCAGTCTGGATAGGCAACATAGAGTGTACCTGGGGCCAGGGACAGGCTGTTTTTTCAAGGATGTTTCCAGTAAAGTGTTTTCATAAGAATAATATCAGCATTCTGTTCGATTGGCCGTGTTAAATCATGAACAATATTTTTCATTTTCAACTTGCATACTTTTCCATTTATTTATTTTTAATTGAACTGATTGGTTAATAAAATTATATAGGTCTCAGGTATACAATTCTATAATAAATCAGCTGTATATTGTATTGTGTGGTCACCACCCCAAGTCAAGTCTCCTCCCATCACCATTTATCCCCCTATCCCTTCTTATGGATTACTACTTCTCTTTGAACAATTTAAAATGAAGATTAGATTTATTGACCGGCTTTTATATTGTTTTGTTTTCATTTACCTATTATAGTTTCTGCCTTTGGAAGTCATTATTTCCCCCAGATCTAATATGCCTAGGTCATATTTTTCGGTTAAAAAAATCATCAATAAGATTTTATACTTCTGCTAAATTTTAATGAGAAATGCATTTTAACAAGTGCCATTTTGAGCCACTGACAATTTTTTCTCTTACTTACAAAATCTAACTTTTGCAGAATTAACTTACATAGTTCTTAATAATACCGGCCATTTGTATTTTATCAGTTACTATTATCCATAATAAATTTTATCTGTGAGACACTTTAGCCATTGCCTATTTTATTTTATATTAAATATTTCTACCAATTTAATTTATTATGAATTATAAAAAAGACTACTAGAAGATGGCGGCATAGATAAACACCGGGAAATTGCTGCCTCCCACAACAATTGAATAATACTTCAAAAACACAAAACGGACATCATCCAGAACTACAGGAAGACTGGCTGAGTGTAAATTCTACAACTAGAAGGAAACAAAAGCACACTGAGAGCCAGAGGAGCTGCGGAAGTAAAGTG